TGCTCGGGAGCGTGGATGCAGCTGCAGTGAAGCGGCGGTGTAGTAGTTGGGAAGTGCGGCCAGCAGGGGGTGGGTGTGAAGCGGCGATAGCGTGTGCAGGTTGGCACGGTGGTGTAAAGGTGGCGAGGGGTTGGTACGGCGGAGCAGCGTGCAGTGAAGGAGACGACAATGCCCGCTCGGGAGGCAGCGAGGAGCGTGGGAAGTGCGGTGCGGTGCGGTGAATACAGGTGCCGAGGCAGGGCGAGACAGCGGGGAGAGTTGCGACGACAGTACGGAGGCGCGGTGTGATTCGGTGCGCGGGATCTCAAGCGCGTTGGGAGTCGGGGACGCGTGCGTGGATATGACACGGAACGCTTTGTGTTTCAGTGATCGTTAGGAGGATTCATAGTAGAGGCCCTCCTCTGGCGAAAATGTTTCGAGGGATGCGTGCGTGAGCGAGTAGCGTAGCACAGAAACCGGATGTGCTTCAGTAGTCTTGCATGCGTAGCCGATTGAGTGCAGCTTGGATAGGCAGCGTCCACTACACAGACGATTTCGGTGGGAAACGGCAAGCGATGTTGTGCCCAACTAGTACATGAAAGCTGTCGTCATATTCGTCGATACGAGATGGTTAATTCCTTCGATTCTCTTGAGAGCAGCAAGAATCCATAGGAGCAATCGCATGTCGCGGAGGAAGACGGTAAAGGTAAATGTTTGTTGTAATAACAGCGCCACTAAATGTATCACAAAATGTTGTAGTGAGTCAAGTCACAGCCACTACAGAGACTTTGGAGTCGCACTTAAAAAGACTAGCACAGCCCCTAATTTCGTTACAAAGTTATGGGAGACACATTTATAAAAAAACCACTCTCAGCTTTGGTTTTGTTGATTTTGAAAAGAACGACTCTTATGTAAACATAAATAGTCGTAATTTGGGTTTATATTTCAATGTACTGGGTCCCGTGACGGGAAAACGCGAAAATGAATTCTAAAAAGGAAGGAGAAAGGGAGGGTTCGAGGAAACTGCAGGAGACTTCACGGTAGTCTCACGCGACCTTGCGGCCTGCTTAAATTTAATTGCCAAAACACAGTTTTGCGAGGCGAAAGGTGTTCAAAAGGTGCTACAAAAGATTACAACAGTATAGAATGAACAACGGAGATCCCGGATAGATGAGTTCGGGAGGAGCTAGAGACCAGTCGTCGATAGGGTGTGACACGGGTACAGGTAAACCCGCGGTGTCACGGTCACGGGTGTCACAGGTGCGGGTATGGTAGATGAATTTTTGAACACCGCAGATACCGCGACCCGTGGAAAACCGTACCCGTAATACCGTAAATGTGTTAAAAAGACTGCAGCAACAAGAAGCGAACTCAGAACCTGCACATGTCATAATATTCGATAGAAAAGGAGTGCACCCACTACACCAAAGCATCATAATTAATGTCGGTGAAAGTATACCAGTGTAAAGACAAGCTTGACTTAGGGTCATGTGAGAGGAAACCAGTTTCCTCTCACATGACCAGAATAACAAATTGGTTTGCACTTAGCACAACACAATGAATCAGGCTAGGAATCAATATGTACAAGCTCTGTTGTCCTGTAACTAGTTATCAGGATATCATTCTCCAGTAAAATGAAGGTAATATGTCAACTACCACAGTAAAATACTGCGGTAATTATTACCACGGGTTTTCGATAATACCGCGGTTAAATTACCGTAAACCCGTACCCGTGGGAAAACGGGTATGGTGTCACGGGTCACGGGTGCGGTATGACATCGTGACACCCGCGGTACCACCCGTGTCACACCCTACCAGTCGAAGATCAGGATCAGCAGAAAAGATGCACACCATCCGAATAGCGATGTGGTGAAGACGAGAAGAAATCCGGAATACTTCGGACATATTTGTAGACGGTCTGCAGGTAACTGTGAAAATTCTTATGCGCAGGTGCGAGGCATGTTGCGGACTCACTCGACATCGATTACACAGGATGGCCGCGCAAGAATTGCTGGATTGAGCTGACCACGCCGTAGATGTGGATATTGCGGCGTTGAGTTTGGCCAAGTATCGGATTAGTTGGCACCGGGCGGGGAGCGGGCCCTCCCGCATTTGTAGCCCGTTGCCCTCGTGAGGTGCGCAAGAAAATCGGACGCGGAGGTGGCTGGGCGTGAATGCGATTGATTGAGCATCATACTCACACAATGATTGAGCATCATACTCACACATTAGTCTCCGAGCTGATGGTAGAAAGACCTGTAAAACATACCTACTGCCCACAATGGATACCACAGATTTCCAGAATAGCTCTTCTCCGCCTGCCATGCGTCTCGAGGACTCGTCGCTTGCAAACCGGGTAAATGTTGATGTGGGGGTGGGCCCGGTGGGGATTCGTCATTGAGGGGCCAGGAAGTGGTTGCAAAGTGTCTGAAACACCCCATGTAAAAGGGACAACCCAAGCCCACAGGGCCTGAGCCAAAAGACTGCGCTTGTGGACCGATCCACGCGCGAGATTGGGGCAAGATTTGTATTGTATGAATGTCGAGCTTCGGTAGGTTTGGCACGAGGTTTTGGCTTCCAGATGAGGCTTTGACACATGCATCGAAGGTTCAACGCCGATTCAGGGCGCAGACACGGGCAGCGGAGCAACCGTGCTCGAGGAGAGAGAGATGGCAGCTAACAGCGTGACGTCACGGTTACCTGCCAGTCACTTGTTACCTGCCATTTTCTTATCTTGTCTCACTCAGACCGCTTTAAAATGTTCTGAAGACCTAGGATCAGTCTAGATTCATTTTAGAGCCTCGTCGAATATTTTTACGAATTGAGAGGAAGAGGAATGTGTTCAAATGAGAAAAGTGGCAGCTAACATGCACAGCCACTGGCAGCTAACACCCAGCTGATCGAGTCATGAACCGTAATTTGTAAGTACAGAAAGCTGCAGGAAGCCCCTCGCAAACAAGGATACACAACGCCCCAATTTTTGACAATGATGCTGTCCTCCGCCTTATGCGCTGGCCGGCGGACGTCTTCGCGATGCCTGCGCCATTTCTCGCGAACAGCGACGTCCTCCGCAGCATCGGTGGACCCGGCGGCTCCACTTCAGCTCGGGGCACCTGCCAACCACCCGTCGTCGTATAGCAGCGCCAGCAGCAGTTCTGCTCCCCTTGCCATAGGCTCTGAGACGCCCGAAACTAGCACAAAGGCTTCTACCTTTGCCCCGCCCTCGGCGCCCCAGCTGTCATCCGACCACGGGCTGTATAGCTTCTTCCGGCGCAAGGACGACCCAAATCTTCGCGGCGACGACCAGTACGATACATTTACGGACCCCAACATCAAGTATACCGGTCAGCACTCCGCTGGTGTCTGGCCCGCTGCATTTCTTACCACTTAATCGTCAGGGAGGTCATGGCTCGCATCGGAGCTGCGGCTGAAAAGCTTCAAAGACCTACACACCCTCTGGTACGTGCTGCTACGTGAGCGCAACATGCTCGCGACCCAACGCGAGGAAATGCGGCGGCTGGGTCTTCCCCAAAGACGTTTCCCTCATGCGAACGCGGTAAACTCGGCCAAGGTGAGTTGCTCACATCTCGCACACATGTCACCGCTGAGGCGGGTTTTGTTTTTTCAACAGTGCCGCAAGTCGATGGCGCGAATTAAGGCGATAATGAATGAACGACGGCTCGCGTACGAGGGTGCGGTCGAGCTCGCAGAAAAAGAACGGGAGGAGGCGGAAGATGCCACGGTGCTCAAGTTCCAGGTTGACGTGGAGACGACGAAGAAGCACAAGCAGCATACGCTGCAGCTACGCCAGCGTCTCGTTGTCCCTGCACGACCAGCTACCAAAACGCAGCGGGCAGGAGCCAAGTTCAAGGCCAAAAAGGACAAGGCGGCTCAATTGGCACCGTCAGAGAGTCGGCCCGCAAAGGTGAAGACAAAGCCAGAGCTGTCTGACGAGGGAAACATCAAAAAGCCACGGTGGACGAAGGAACAGAAGCAGAAGCACTTGTTGCACAAGAAGCGGCAGGCGGAGGGGGGTTCCTCAAAGTCCCCCAAGCGCTTGAATATAGCATAGCACCGTGCAATACATATATATAATAACCACCTAATTGGCGCAGGCCTATGTGCTCGCGTATGTGCTCATCGCGTATGTGCTCGCCGCGTATGTACTCGCCGCGTGGCGCGTAGCATCGAAGGCCTCAGCGTTCAATGATCCTCCGTTTGTTTCGTCTCTGGTGACCCCAGTCGCTCATTTCTTCGGAAACCCAACAGTCTTTGACCGACTTGTCTTCATACATGTTCACTTGACGCGTGTAGGAACGCAATAAATGCTCGATTACGCCAACGGCGCGTGGGGATACTGTTGCGGCGTTCTTGCGGAAGGTAAAGCGTATTATCAGGTCCCATTTTGCGCGCGTTTCTAGTGGCTTGCTACGTGGTATGCGGAGCGCACTACGAAATTTCAGACCAACGAATTGGCGGTGGTGGAAGACACACCGTCGATACAAATTCAGCACGTCTTTCTGTAGGCCTGAGTGACGAGCTGACATTTCGAGCCCCCGTTAATTCTCAACGGGCAGTAGACGGGACACTCCTTATGCTGCTGATCTCGGTGCTCAGCGGGAGTCGGCTAAAGACGGATAATCACGTGTCACGATACATGCACAAAACGCTTCTGGCCCAATTTAGGAAGTTGATGTCCACGCGAGCCATATGTGGTCACAGGGATTCCGCAAAGTCGGGATTGATGTTCTGAAGAGGAAATGCCCTCCTTACGAGACTGGAACATGCAGAAAGCCCGCAACTTGAGGGCATTTGACGGTTTGACCAATTTTGGTCGATTAAGCTTTGCTTAAGCCCCCCGCAGTCCTCTCCGCAGCCTGGGGCAGTATGTTAACGGATTTTAGCTGCTTTCGTGAGGGGGACAGCAGGCTGAGGATGGGGCGCAAGGGCATATTCCGACAAAAACTGAAACGTCATCAATTCCTGCTCTGAATTAAGCTCCAAACTACTGAGGCGCTGATGGGCGCTTAGCGCAGGGGTAGCGCGTTCGCTTCGCATGTTCTGAACATGTTTGCGAAAGGTCGTTGGTTCAAATCCTACAGTGTCCACACTGTTTTGCTCTCTGATTGCTCTCTGAACCACCTACTGGAGAGGCAGCCTTTTTGCAGCCCCATTTACGACTGCCAAGTCGTTGCTTTCGGATGCAGCTGTAGTATTGTGTTTCCACTGCACTCTGCGCCTGGACCACCCTGCGTATACATATGTAGAACGAGGGTTGAGATCTGAGATGATGCGGAATCGGCGGAAATTATTACGTAAAGTATATGTTTGTGTTTGGTTTGTGTCTGAGTCACAGCGTGACAGTTTTTATTCCCATGCTCTCGCTCCGCCTCACGCGCCGCTGTACGTCGAACATCGCGAGACGGTACTCTACGGTCCCGGAGGTACCAACGGATCCAGCACTGTACTGCAGAGATCTTGTCCGCAAGCACGACTATGAGTCGTTCCTGATCAGCAAATTCTGGCCTGCGGGTCTGCAGGATGGGTACTTTGCAATCAAGGCGTTCTCTGTGCGCGCGGAAATTCCCTTCGGCCTAGTTTGTTTATTCACTGGAGCAAAAGACAGAGCTAGCGATGGTACAGGACAGTGTAAGCGTCGCGACCATTGGCGCGGTGCGCATGCAATTCTGGCGGGACGCGGTGCGGGACATCTACGCTGTGCGTCGCGCGGAATAGGCACTCTACGGGAAGGGAATCCAGCTCATGCGTCGTCCAGGATCGGCCGCCACGACATCCGGTCGCCCTCGCGCTACATCGCGCGACGCAGCAGGCCAATTTGCCGGCCTACCATCTGAAACGGATCGTTGACGCGCGGGATGAGGAGCTAAGAACGGGGTCATACCCCACGAGCGACACGCTGGTGGCGCACGCAGAGAGTGTGTCGTCAAGTGTACTGTACCTCTTGCTCGGGCTTCGCGGGCTCGGCGCGGCGGAGGATTTGGCGCACGCGGCGTCACACCTGGGCACCGCACAGACCATGGCGACGCTGTTGTGGTCAGTGCCCCGCCATGTGAGCCAGCGGCGGCTGCCGATTCCGCTGGACATTTGTGCACGGCATGGGGTAAATCAGGAGGAGGTGTTCCGACGCGGCGGGGATGCTGAGGGGGTAGATGCGGCGGTGTATGACTTTGCGGTCTTGGCCAACGACCACCTCCTCACCGCACGCGAGGTCTTCAAAGACATCGGCGGCCAGGTACCTGCGGTGGCCATGCCAGTGTTTCTAGCCGGGGTTCCAGTTGCCAGCTTTTTGACGCAACTGGAGCAGGTGAATTTTGACGCATTTGCACGATCCCTGGCCATGCGAGATTGGCGGCTATCATGGAGGATATGGAGGGGGTATTATAAGAGGGTGTTCTAGATAGTTGTGGTATCACGAATTATCAATGCGCTCAACCCTGCAAATCCACTGACCTACACACAAGCCGTGGGCATTTTTCGCGTCGAAGAGGGACGAGCAGCCGCGCAAGTCAAAGTGTTTTGAGAATTCAAGTTGCAAAGTGATGCAAGACCGAATTCCGCGCAGTTTATCCGATATACGTTTCAAATGGTGTTGAAAACCACTTGGTAGGGTCGCCCTTGGATCTGAGCACGTCCTTGCTATTTTTCGATTGACAATGAAACACTACCCGAAACAGATGCGAGGCGGCAGACAGCCCAATTAGGCCCTGTCACTTAGGCAAGACCGGGCCGGTGCCGAGGTGCGCGAATATTCAGTAACCACGCTTGCTCTGTACCACCACCACCGCCTCATTTTCCATTTCCACGGCTCATGGAGGCTCTACCCGACGAGGTCCTCCAGCTCGTATTCTTCAATCTCCAGGACCCCACCCACCTCGTCGCAGCGAGCCGCCGTTTCCTCCTCTTCTCACAGGACCCCTACGTCCGTGCGCACTACTTTCTCACCCGCTACGGGTCCATCGAGGCCCTTTACTATGCCCTCGCCCGTGGAAAGCTCCTGACACCCCGCGTTCTCGATGTATGCTCCGCTTTTTTTGTACCATGCTACCTGTCTCAATCGCCTAGATTCTCCTTGCCAGCGGTGCCCATATCTCGCGTTATCTTGTCCAGGTCGCTTTCCACCATTATTTCCACTGCCAGTCCCACTTCCTCAAACCCTCCTCCCCCTGGGCACGCCATGTCTCGCTTGAAACCTTTTCCTACTTTCTCCAGCTCGCAGCCGAGAAGTATGGCGAAATCCCCCGCGCCAAGGTCCGTCTCCGCGCCTCCGCGTCTATCAATGTGAAATTGATAGACCACATCCAGACGGACGATGATGGCGCGCTCTTTGCCACCTTTATAAAGGAAGCAAAGTTCCCCGCCGACTCGCAACGCGTCAAGTGGGAAACCATCCGCGATATATTTGAGAAATATCATGTGCGTCCGTCCTCGTTCGGCACCTTGAGTGCTTGCCCATCCCCTCGCCAGTTCATTCCCTTCTGCCTCCGCGACCCCCTCATGGCCCAATTCCCGCTGGCCCTTGCTATTGAACCCCGCTTGCTCCCGTACGCCGTCGAGAATGGCTTTCATATGGACGCCAAGGCACGTCTTTCCATCCAAGATCGTGTGATGCCCTTCTCATGTGCCACCCAGTACCGCGACTTTGTCTTCCGCAAAATGTTCGAACGCTCGGCAGCCCCCGCCGCCGCTCACGCAGAAGACATTGTCACAAATGTGCGCGAGCTCTGCCGCCTTGATTCCGAGTGCGTGTCCCGTCCGTGATAGTTAATCAAGGGGATCCTTATGCGCGCGCAGCATGTTCGTCACGCGTACTGTCGCGGCCGAAGTTTGCCTTGAGGCCAAAACAAATGAGGCCGCGTACAGCGCACTAAAGCAACTGGATCGCGCGGGCGACTTCTTCTTTTCCCTCGCGTATGTCAGCCATACCAATTCCGCAAGTACCGAATTTATCTTTTTGATTACAGTGAACTTGTTCAAGATGTCATCAAGGTGCTTATGGCTTGTTGCAGGGTTGAAAATTCCACGCTAATGAATCCCCCGTCAGCTCTTCGTTAATGCGCGCGCCATCACAAACTCGGCAACGTCTCAGATCCTTACGCTGCTTTACACGGACTTTCTCGCGCCACCTCCCGTCCCCGCCGCTTATGCTTCCTCCTCGCGCCACACCCTTTCTGCCCGCGCTCAAGCCGCATCGGTTGACCCGACAGTTCGCCGCGCCATGCTTCTCACCGTCTTCGCCGCAGATCCTCCTATTGCGGTGAGCGCAATGCATGCGCGTCTGGAGCCGCTGCGGCTCGGACCCCTCAACCTCCAAGACGCGGCAGACATACTACTGAGCGCGTTCGTCGAAAAGCACACGCCACTGTGGGAGTATCTGCGCCGAGAAGGTGTGGGGAACGAGGAGAGGAGCTCAACGACGCGGAAGGCGACGCCGATGGAGCTGCTCGCGCTTGCAGAGAACGTCGCGGTGCGATGCTTGACGCGCGACAACAAGGGCAAGACGCTTAAGCGACTCTGCGACACATACTCAAGCGTGCGGAGGCGGATCATGCAGACTGTGCTGGGGGAGCATCAGGTGAAGATGGAGGCGCTGGGCGAGATGGTACCGGATGGCACCGGTCCCTGGCGCGCCCGGCTGGCGCGGCATGTGGGCGGGATCGTCGTGTCAGAGGAAGAAGGGAGCGATAGCGAATGGGAAGGACGGGGCGTGGAAGATGAGGACGAGGACGAAGACGAAGATCGGTATCCCGATTCAGATGAGGACGTCGACATGGAGAGTCTCAGTGGCGAGAGTGACCTTGTGCAGACTGTAATCACCGGAAAGCCCAAGCTCTCGGTACACGAGTTGGGCGGTATAGGGCTTGAGCCGCTCAGCACGATGATTCGGCGAGATGAGACGCACGGTGGCCGCGGCCGTCGGCGGTATTTCCCCATGATATACGGGTCGGGTCAGAGCTCGCGCATCCCAACGGGTAAGATTCTCCCTGTTTTCTGGACGCCGCCTGCTAATTGTCTCGATGACTGCAGATCCTCTGTCCGTCTCGAAATGGATCAAGAGCGAGTTTGGTGCGTCCAGCAGCGTTACCGCGACGTTCCTCCTCCACGCCGTTATCAATGGGAATAGCTCGGTATGTTCGGCAAGGGTCCACTGTTGGCCGCCTGTGCTGACCCAGGGTGAACGTAGGTCCTGGGCGTGTACTTGAACCCAATCCCCGCGCCTGTGCCCATCACGCTGAAGCACTTCCAGGCCCTGGCCCAGCTCGGGAGCGCGGCGGCGGTGCGTAGCACGTTCTCGGTCCCGGCCCTCAGGCTGCGCGTGTGTGTGTGATGCTAACGCTTTTTGTGGCGCGGCACAGGACTTCTACCTGTACGAGCGCATCAAGGCGGGTGCGCCGTTCTATGCGACCGAGGATGAGTACCTAGCAGGCGCAGACACAGCCCGTTTCCTGCTGAAGAAGTTGAGCAAGGGCAAGGGCAAGGGCAAGGAGGGAGCGCCAGCGCCCACGACGCCTACCCGAGTCAAGGCGGAGCCGGTGGACGCCGTGGCGCCCGGATTAGGGTCGCCATCCCAGCGCGGGAGGAAGCGTCCGCGGCGCTCGGCCGCGACAGCGGTCAACTCGTATGCGGTGCCCGACTCGGACGACGAGGCGATTGCTGCGGAGGAGGACCGCAACGACGAGTTTGCTGAGTTCCGCATGGGCGCAGGGGCTGAGAAGAAGAAGCTGGCGAAGGCGGAAAAGGTCGAAACGCACTTGGAGATGTGGATCACGGCGCTGGATGGCTTGTTCAAGGAGGAACAACGCAAGGTGTGTTGGAGGAGTAAGTGTTTGGATCGCGGTGACCGCTGACGTGTCTGGCTGCAGTACCGCGAGAAGAAGAAGTGTGCCGAGAAAGATTATAAGGAGAAGCCCGCGGAGTCGGGGGGAAAGCTACGTGTGGCCAAGGTGCGTCGTGCCTACCATGTGCTTGACCCCTCCTCACTGACGGACTGGCGCAGAGCGACTTTTTCCGTTCCTTGACGACGAACCTACGCCTTCTGCGCGAGCTCAATGCACAGAAGCGCATGTTCCGTGTGGGCACCGGGGACGAT